TTGGGGAAAAGCTGACTTGGCTGTACAGAGCTGCAGTGGGCCAGTACAGCCCAGTCTGTTCTGAGGTGGTGGGGATGGGACTGGGTCTCCTGGGCATGGAACATAAAAGCCAAAGGCAGAGCAGGCTCTGTGGGGCAGGGCACCAGCCATGCACAGTGCAGTACCTGGGCAGCTGGGAGTGGGGTTTGTACATGCAGGTGCCTCCTTCACGGTTGTAGGGGCTCAAACACCGTTGCAGCTTCTCAAGTCTCTTCCCTCCCCTTTTGCTTCTGGTTTTCCTGGGTGCTGAGAGATGGGAGCGCATCCAGCTGGAGGGCTGGAAGCCAGGCCCTCTCTCCTTCCTTCTGTCTCTCCTCCCATCCACTCCTGCTCTCCTCCAGCACCCTGCTGGCCTCGCCTTGGGCAGGGCCAGGTGGGTTTCGGAGGGGCCCCATCCCCACCTGCCTGTCAGGTGGCAGCCGGCTGGTGCTCAGTGTGGTGGCACTGGCTGGGAGCTCCCGGCAGCTCCCGCAGTGCTGTTCAGTGGAGCAATCGGGAATAGGGGGCCGTGTGCCTGGGTCTTGGCGCTCCTATTAATAGACTTTTTGCTTTAATTGGGACCGGTGCGTGGACTGAGAGAGCCATCGATCTCTCCGGCCTGGAAGCCAGGTGGCCTCTTGTCCTTCCTCCTCCTCCAGCTCTTGTGAGCGTCTTCTCCTGAGCTTCCTGCACCAGGGCTGTGCCATGCGGTTCCAAACGGAGCTGGGCAGGATGCTGGGCTTGCCCAGCCCTCCTGGCTGCTCTATATACAAGCTATATAGAGCGCTGCTCCGCTCTGGAACTCGCTCCCCGAGCACCGGGCGCGCCAGAACACATCACTCCCTCTTCTGTCTCGTTCTGTCATTCCCTCTTGACCTCACGCCTGTCCACACTGCTCACCTACCCTCCCATCCCCTGCTTGTGAGCCCTGGCCCCCCCAAGTCACACTGAATGGCCTTGGAGCGCGGCGGCGCCTGGAGCCGTCCTGCCCTGCATCGCGCACCCCCAGAGCATGTGAGAGCAGAGCAGCATCTGCCCGGGGAATGGGAACTGCATTGATCCGTGTCTCTTGTTTTCTCTCTTTCTCCCCTCCCCGACTGGGCTGCGGTCACTGGCTTGCCCCTCTCTCTCCCTGCCCTCAGGAAGCACGCAGACTGTCCGCAGTTGCTGGACGTGGAGGACATGGTCCGGATGCGCGAGCCAGATTGGAAGTGTGTGTACACATACATTCAGGAATTCTATCGCTGCCTGGTCCAGAAGGGGCTGGTAAAAACCAAAAAGTCGTAGCCCATTTTCACCCCCGGGAGCGATGGTGAGAATCTTCCTGTCGATCTACTGCCGCACACCCGCCCGCCTGCGTCCCACCGCTTGGCAGGAGGGCCGGGGAGCGGCCGCTGCGGCTGGGGCAGAGAATGGGGCATACTGGTGGGAGAGGGCCGAGTCCCGTTCTGGGAGCAGGGTGGAGGCGACTGGCTGCCTCTCTCCTTTCAGAACAGCGCTCGTGGGGCGAGGGCTGAGGAGGTGGTCATGGAGGGGACCCGGGGCCCACGGCTCTCCAGCCTGATGCCAGGAATGGGGCTGCCGTGGCTTTTCCCTGCCTTCCTCCCTCTCACCCATCCCAGCCCAGGGGGCTGAGCAGCTGGATTCCAAAGAACACCGCTTTGGTCACCGGAGTGCTCCAGCCTCACTGCCCGCACTCGCTGCCTCCTTTTTCTGTACTGGAGGCTGCCTGTCCCAGGCACGCAGAGGCTGCTGGCTGCAGTGGAGGGCCGAGGGGCCGGTGCCGCGCTGCAGGATCAGGCGTGGCTCAGGGTGCTCCCCTCCCATCGAGGTGCTGCCTGCTCATATATGGGCAGGAGAGGGGAGCCTGGAAAGTGTGACTCAAGGCTGCAGTCCTGCCTCTTCTTGCACTGTTTGTGCCTGTCTTTCAGGGGCATCCTAGCTGGCACTGGAGCCTCCTCTCCCCCAGCTCTGCACTGCACTAGCACACCGAGGCCCAAACAATGCCTTTATAAGGGCAGAGCCTGTCTCCCTCTGCTGCCTTAGCTTTTCCATCCCCCTGGCTGGTGGTAGCGGGGAACCTGCTGTGCTCAGGCGGGTGCTTTCCCAAGGCCCTGAGCATGCCCTCCTGGGCTGCTGCATCATGCAGTGAGGCTGCTGCAGCCAGGCCCTAGGCTCAGAGCCCATTGCTTCTATGGCTGTCTGAGTTCCAGCCCTGCAGCATTAACCAGGAGAGCGGGGCATAAAGAGCAAGGCCCCAGGCAGAGCTCCCAGGCTGGCTACAGCCTTCCAGCATGGCTGCAGCACTTGTGAGGAGCCCTGGGGCCAGGCAGCTTTCTTTGATCTGGGTGCTCCTTGCACCCATGCCTTCCTGCCCAAGGACTGGCATCAAGTGTGTGTCTGTGCCAGTGCCAGTCCAGAGCTCCTTGCTGCAAGGGAGGCTCCTTGCTGTGCAGGGGCACCAGAGCACATGATGGGGCTACCAGGGTCTGCAGCTTGGCATGAGGGGAGAGGGCTAGGGATGGGGCATTTTGTGGAAGGTGTCTGATGCTCCCAGTACGGTCAGAGCTGTCCCAGTGAGCCCCTGCCTGGCTCAGCCTGCGTAACAGTGGAACCTGGAGCCAGGCTTTATGGGTTCTGCAGGACCCTAACAGGGATGGCTCCATCCCCAGCCCCTGCATGAGCCTCAAGCCCAGGCTCAGCTTCAGGCTGCTCAGCCCCAGCCCTGATCTTGGTGCTGGTGCCAGCACAGCCTGTGCTCTGTCAGCCAACACTGGCAATGGCTGCTCCAACTCTGGGCACTGTCCTCTCATAGGTGACATCAGCACTGGGCTGCTCCCAGACAACCCTGCCAGCCCCAAGACCTGATGAGCCGTGTGAGGGAGGGAGCTGCCCCTTCCCTTCTATCTGCACCCTGCCTGGCTGCAGCAGCAACAGCCCCTGCTGTGCCAGCGGCCCCAAAGACCAAGGAGCCACCTGGGGCCTGATGGAGCCACGTCTTGGGGTGCAGGCTGGCAGCAGCGGGGCAGGGGTGGTGCTTATAGCCAAGGGTCAGAGTGAGCAGCAGTGTCATCCCAAGGCCAGCTTTAATGGTGGAGAGGGCCCTGAGGTGGAGAGCAGCTGGGGAAGGGTCTGGCACAAAACTCAGTGCCCAGCCCGGGCATCAGGGCAGCGTAGTGACTCCTGGATGAGGTAGCCATAGGCCATTGCTGAGCCCCTGGAAATTGTGTGGCTCTGGCAGAGTCGTGCCCACAGTCAGGCCCAATGCAGCCTCCCCGGGCTGTGATCCAGCAGCTGGGTGGGGGGCTGGGAAGCATGGCCAGGGGTTGGGGAGCGCAGGGCAGCGTGGGGTGAGGCTGCTCTGGTGGCTCCACCGCAGTGCAGTGACCTCAGCCTGCACTCATGGTGGGGGGAGCAGGTCTAGGAGGGCTACGAGTCCCAATAGTGGGGCAGGGCATGGGTGGCAGGGGTCTGTGGAGGCAGTGGGGCGAGCAGTGCTGGCAGGCTGCCTGGCCTCGCAGGCCACACTGGGCTGGGGACACTGAGGGCACAGTGAGGCCGGGGGCAGCCTGGCGCTGGCGGCCCCATCGTGGCCTCCTGCAGGTGTGCTGAGGCCCAATGTCTTTGCAGGATGCTGGCGGACTGCGTGCCCCTGGTGGAGGTGGAAGACATGATGATCATGGGGAAGAAGCCGGACGCCAAGTGCGTCTTCACCTACGTGCAGTCCCTCTACAACCACCTGCGTCGCCACGAGATGCGCATGCGGCAGAAAGAGTGCTAGAGCCTGCCCCAGCCTGCGGCTGCCCGACACCTCACTGCCCCCTCCCTGCAGGGACGCTGGTGTGCGGAGGAGCTGCCGCCCCATGGAGAGGCTGGCAGCGGGGGTGGAGAGGCTGTGGGGCTGGCGCTGGACAAAGTTTGGGGCTCCTGGGTCACCCGTTGCTTCAGCCTTGCTGGAGCTCCTCGGTCAGCTTCTGCCCCGGCTGGCTGCCAGCTGAACGTACGGGCAGGGCAGAACGGTGCCAGGCGGGTGGTGCCTAGGATGCCACTCTCCCTGCAGCCAGCTTGGCTCTCCTCCCCTCTGCCATACTCTAGTGTGTTAAGTTATTCATTCTCAAGGAGTTCTTTTTACGTGGGCAGGGTCCCTGCTTCCCCCGGGAGGCTGGGGCAGCACAGTACCCTCGGGCCCTGAGCCAGCGCAGGTCTGTGTCTGTGTGGCTCAGCCCATGGACCCTGCAAGCCAGGGCCCAGGTGGGCGCTGCTGGTTTTGGTGCAGCCGGGAGGCAGAGCGCCCTGCTCCCCAGGCGGCCTGAGAACAGTTCTGGGCCACCTGCAAGGAAGCCTCTCTGCCCACCACAGTCCCTGCTTGGTGCCACCTCCCTGGGGACGGCCCTGTGCCAACACCCTGCTTCCCACCGCACACACGTGCCCAGGGCGCTTCCACGGCGGGGACCTGCAGCACCGCCGTGCTGGGGAGCTGGAGGGGAGCGGGGAGGGCCCCAGGGAGCGCGGGGCCAGGGCCAGGACCAGACAGCCCCCGCGCTCCTCCCCAGCTCTGGGCACCTCGTGCTCAGTGCCACTCGCCCCTTCATCACAGTCTACACCTGCGTTGACACGTGTACCAACACCAGCCAGACAATAAAAGTTTATTCTATAGGGTGATTCTTCTGCCTCGGGTCCTTCTCCCCAACCCCTTCCAGCAACCACTCCACTGCATGCAGGGCCACTTCCCCTCTCCCTGGGAGGATTTGCAGCCTCAGCTGCACCAAGACCCCTCAGCTCTGGACCAGAGGGCCCAGAGCTGGGCTAGCACCCTCACCCCTTGCTCCCAAAGCGTGCCCAAAGCTTTGGCGCCTGATCTACGTGGCCATGAGGACAGCACAGGAACGACATAGCAACCCTGCAACCCCCTCCTGCCTCTGTCCTGCAAGCATAGATGTGCACCCAACTGAGACTGCCCCAGAAAAATGACAAGGTGCAGCTGATGGTAGGCAAGGGCTTTACTGTGTGCTTGATAGAGGCAGCCTTGCTGGTGATGTAAAGCCATACCCTCCTGGGAGGCAGCTGTCCCACCTCCAGGACTCAATACATCTGCCCTCAGCACGTGGAGCTTTCTGCTGAGAGTTTCATCCTGTCCTGTGCAGGTAGGATACTGCTGTCCAGCACCAGGAGTTGACTGGACCTTGAGGCATGGGAAAAGAGCAAAAAGATCTCTCCTTCTCCTTACCAATCATGCCAAAATGTCTGGGCTGCATGGCTCAGGGGGAAGGCAGGGACAGGCACACAGGCTCACTCCAATGTCCGCAGTGCTTAGGAGCCTCTGCTCAAGGCTGGCATCATTCAGGGCACCCTTGGAACAGAGGCTACAGAGCACCAAGCAACAGAGGTAGCAGCAGGGAACATCTCTCTGCTTCCTGTTCACACTCTCACCACCCTGTGGCATGCTCCCCAGCCATGTGTGAAGAGCTGTCCTAACATCCTCAACCCCACGCTCTAAGGACTGGCTGCAGGCCCTCCCACCGCCTGGCACTGCTCACTACAGGTCTGGGTGGTCCTTCTTGTCCTGTTCAGACAGGGTCTTGCTGTCAGCTGCAGGAGCTCTGCGGGGTATTAGGGTGGGCAGTGGCTTGGCAGGGGCAAACTGGAACTCCTCGGGCACAGGGGCTTCGGGAGTCTCCTTGCGGTAGAAGCCCAGCTCCTGCACCAGCTGGTTGATCTCCTCCCGAGTCATGTCACTCAGGGGGATTCTCTGCACAGAGACAGGGATCCATAGTAGCTCCATCAGCCGAGGTGCCCTGGAGCCTGCAGCTGTGCTCGGTGCTGTGCAGCCCGCTCACCTCCAGCTCCTCATATCTGAAGCTAAGCAGCACGAGCTCAGGGTCGGCGCCGGGCAGGTGCTTCATCTCCAGGTTATGGCTGGGTGATTTGTTAAGGAGTGGCAGTGCCAGGCAGAACAGTCCCATCCCCCCATCCTCCTCCCGTCCCATCTAAATTACGCCCTGTTCTGACCCCTGTCCCGTTCTGCTACAAGCTCACATCCCGTCCCGTCCCTTGTCCTCATCCTGGCTCATCCCGTCCCCCGTCACATCCCATCCCCATCCCGTCACATCCGTCCTCGTCCCGTTACACCCCGCCCTGCCACGCCACTCCCATCCCACTTCCCTTCGCCCCTTCCCACCCCAATTTTGCCCCATCCCGGACCCATTTCCCCCACCCCGTCGCACAGCGATACTACAGCGGGATGTCCTGGTTGACGAAGGCTTTCACCTGCGGGCAGAGCGGCGCGGTTCGCAGCAGACCCGGCTCGGCTCCCCCCGTCCCCGTTAGACACTCACCTCCGGCAGCCGGCTCAGCCGTCACCCGCCGCACGTCTGCGTGCAGACACAGCACAGCCGGTCACCCACAGCCGGTCGCAGCCCGCGCTGCCCCCGGCCCCGCACCCACCTCCACTTTGCCTCTCGCCAAGCCCCGGGGCGGCCGCCGCTCGATCCCCGTCGCCGCCGCCGCCAGCAGCAGCAGCACGGCCAGCACCGCCCGCCGCATCCCGCCACGTCGCGACAGACCGCATTCTGCGCATGCGCGGCGCTGCGCGGGCACGCACCGCGCGCGTGCACGGCCGGCGGCCGCGCGCTCACGGCCGCGCGCAGGTGCAGGTGCTCTGGCTCCGCCCCTCCGCCGTGACGTCGGGAGGGGGGGGCGCTCCGCGCGCCTGGAGGGCGCCGCGCAGGTGGCGGGGGGCGCACGGGGAGAGCGGGGCCGCGCCGGGGGAATGGAGCGGGGCCGGCGGGGCAGCGCGGAGCAGGGCCCGGCCGTCCTGGGCTCGCGGCCCGTCTCCCCGCGCAGCCCCTCGCCCGCCGTCGCCCCCCCCGCGCTGCTCGTCCCTTTCGGCCCCGAGGGCCCGGCCCCGCCGCCAGCCGCGCGGAGGAGCTCCCGACCCGACGCCGCCTTCGAGCCGTTCTCTCCGCGTCCGTCGCCTGATGGAGCGCAGCCCGGCTGCGGGCGGCCCGACGAGCGGGTGTCGGGCCGGGCCGCGCAGCCCCTGGCGCTGGACGTGGGCAGGGCCCGGCCCGAGCCGCTCCCGGTGCCCGCGCTGCTGCCCCTCGGACCGGGCGTCCCGTCGGGCCGCGCCTCGGTGCTGGGCGCGGAGCTCGGCCCGGCGGAGCGCAACGTCCCCGGCAAGCCGCTGCCCAAAGCCGAGTCCAGCGATCACATCTCGGCCTGGGCGGCCCCCCGCGCTGTGGGGCTGCCCAAAGCCGTGTCCAGCGAGTTCCTTTCCGCCGGACGCATCGGGCTGGGCAAGGCGGTGGCTCTCGCCAAGCCGGAGCCCGAGGAGCTGCCCCCGTTCGGGAGGTGCGGGACGTCCCTCAGCCCTACGAGCTCCGGCGGATCCTCTGATGCTCTTCTGGGCTGCGCGGGGACGGCCGTGGAGGACGGAGCGTTCCGGTGAGCTCACGGTGGAGGTCGGGGGACAGCGGGACCCCTTCTGCATCCATGGGGGGAGGACGTGGGGTCTGAGCCTGCGGCGAAGGAGCAGTGGCCGAGTCCTCTGTGCGGGTGGCCGAGTCCTCTGTGCGGGTTGCCCTACTCATCCCTCTGTGATGGCCTTGGGGTGGGAGAGGTTGGGGGCTGAGGGACCCTCGGGACGTGGCGCGGCGTTTGGGGGATGGATGTAGGTGGAATTAGAGGTGACAGCAGCTCGCCGAGCTCTCAAAATGGTGTGGCCCTTCCCTGGCACGTTGCTGAAATTGGCTCCTGTGAGTTGCCACCGGAGCAGCCTGCGGGCTGCTGGCGCCCGCTGCGTAGCGGCGTTAATGTGCTGTGACGGGTGGTGGTGGCTGTGTGCTCTGAAGGACACTGCTGTCACGCGATGCACTGCCCAGCTGCAGGCAGGACGCAGCGGGGGGAGGCCGGAGCCCCTGTGTGTGGGATCAGGGGGATGAGCTCGGCGTGGGGAAGCGGTTATTTGGGGCTGTCCTCCTTTGGCTGAGCTGCTACAGCAAGTTCTGCCCCAGGCAGGCTCCTTGGGAGACTGGGTTGGAGGACAGGGAGCCCTTCTGAGCCTGAGTGTTACCTTGTTGTCCCTTATTCCTCTTAAGCATCACAGTGGTCACCTGGAACGTGGGCACAGCCATGCCCCCCAATGATGTGACGTCGCTGTTGCATCTCAACACGGGCGAGACGAATGATGCAGACATGATCGCCATTGGGTAAGAGAGAGAGGTGCAGGCCCCTGCCCTGGAGAGGGCCCTGTTTGAGGGATTTTCCACATAGTCCTGGGGGGCTCAGAGTGGGAGAGCTGCCTCTCAAACCCGCCCTCAGGCATAGGGAGCAGGGAGGGATGCGCATCATGAATGAGGAACAGCATCATAAGAGGTGATGGAAAATCAGCTTCTTTTAAAAAATGGGATCACTGAGAGGAGCTGAAACCCTCAGTTCACAAATAGCCATGAATCAATCCCTGCACAGCCCATAGCTGGTTTGCCGAGCAGAGCGTGGCCTCAGGAGGTGCCTGGGTCAAATCTGGAGAGGCTTTTAACTCGCCTGCTGGATTCTGCTGGAAGCATTTTCCTCATCTCACCTCTTGTCCGTGGTATGTGAGCCTCAAGGGCGCAGATCTGCTGTTCTCTCACAGCTGGATTGGCTCCGTGCCCCTGGCAACACTTAACTGCTGGCAAGGCAGCCCCAAGTTGGTGTGATGAGGCTTTCTTGGCGTGGCCAGCCAGGCAAGCTGAGCCAGAATTTAAGGGAAGACCAGACCCTTAGGGATTGCCATGGAGCATGCAGATCTGTGCCAAGAGCATGGATGTGCTGCCTGTTGTACAGCCTCTGCCCTGGGAGCTCCTTGTGTGCACAGTGGAGGAGCTCTGCCTCAGGCAGGAGGCTGCTGGAGCCCATCTCCTGGTTGGGGCCCCTCAGCCTTGCAGGCAGACCCTACCTGCAATGGGTCAGGGCAGGGGTGTTGCTTGGTGTGAGGGACTGGCTGGGGCTGTGCTGTGGCCAGGGCATGGTGCTGATGCCTCCACAGTGCCTCTGCCTGCCCATGTCCTTCCTCTGACCCGTACCTTTGTGCCCGGGGCACTCAATATTTTCGGGCAAGGCATTTCCTGATTCTGCTGTTCTCTGGGGATGCTCTCCTTCCCTCTGTTCTCTAATTGCTGAGTGGGGAGGAGCACTGTTAACCTTCTGTCGCTGCTGCTGTGAGCTCGGTGGCTAGGATGCATCCGGGCGCCCTGTGCTGAAGTACTGGTGGGACCTGGCTTCTCTGCAGACTTCCATGCAACTGACATGTCCTGTAAGCCCCTCTTGCACCTAGAGATAGACTTTAGACTGCTGCCCAGCCTTGTGCAGCTGAACTGCTCCTGCTTAGAGGGCCGAAGCATTGCAGCTTCATTGCCTCTTGTGCCTCTTGCTACCCAGCATCGCTAGCACGAGGATGTAGCTGGTTTGTGCTCTAAATCCAGGGTCCTCCCTTGGAATGCCCTTGCAGCTCTGTCCTTGGGTGCCTCGCCCAAGGAGCTCTCCCTGGCTGGGATGCAGGTGCCTTCCTGTTGTGGCTGAGGGATCCGTCTGAGATCAGACAGGCTCTGCAAAGCACTTTGTCCTTCTCCTCCCAGGCTGCAGGAGGTGAACTCCAAGATAAACAAACGCCTGAAGGACGCCCTGTTCACAGATCAGTGGAGCGAGCTCTTCATGGATGTGCTGAGCCCCTTCCACTTTGTGTTGGTAAGGCAGTCCCAAAGGGGCTGGACAGCCGGTGTCCCCTCTGTGCCTGCCAGCCAAGCAGGGGGGCACGGGGAGGGTGGCAGGGCAGAGAGGGATGGAGGGTGTGCAGGAGAAGACCTGGCTAGAGAGATGCCATGCAGCCCTCTGAGCAGCATGTGGAAGCTGAGCTGAAGGTGAATGGGGCATTTTTGCAGTATGCTGCCTGGCTTCTGCCGCTCTACTTGCTTCTCTGGTTGCTTTTGGCTTCCCTTGTGGTACTCTGGGGACACACCTTGTTGCCTGCTGTGTTGCACCAGGGTGAGGAGAGGATCCAGCCTGTGCTTCTGACAGCAGCCTGCAGATCCCAGGGCAAGGCTCAGCTCCCCAGACAGCCAGTGACAGAGTACATAAGTCCTAGCATTGCTGGGCTCATCTCAGTCAGTGGTCAGAATCCAGGCGAGCTCTGGATCTCCGAGCTAAATGTGCTGCTTAGCCACCTGTAAGATGGGCATGAAGGTGCTGCTCTGGCCTGGAACTGTCCCTGCCTTTATGGGCTGTGCTGTGGCTGTCATCCTGCTACAAGCCCTGCTCCTGTTCCAGGTCAGCACAGTGCGGATGCAAGGTGTGATCCTGCTGGTGTTTGCCAAGTACTACCACCTCCCCTTCCTGCAGGACATCCAGACAGACTGCACTAGGACAGGGCTGGGCGGCTACTGGGTGAGTGTGGTCCGGGGGGGTGGAGAGGGCTGCCTTCCTCGGGTCTCACGGCACCCAACTGGGGCAGGGCAACAAAGGAGGGGTGAGCGTCCGTCTGTCCATCTTCGGGCACATGGTGTGCTTCCTCAACTGCCACCTGCCGGCACACCTGGAGAAGGCGGAGCAGCGCAAGGAGGACTTTGCCACCATACTGCACATGCAGCAGTTTGAGGGAAGGGCAGCCAGTGGCATCCTGGACCATGAGTGAGTACCTCGCTGTTTTGCCTACTGCTCTGTGCCGATGCTGGAGGACCAGCCCTGTGCCTGGAGAGGGGGTTGGGTCTGGCATCTGAATCCGAGCGCAGCTTGGAGGTGGGGTCTGGGTGGCAGAGCTGCAGAGTTGTCCCTTGGTCCGGTGAGGTGCAGTTCAATCGGTGTTAAAAGGAGCCCTTGTTTGCTCTTGGGGCGCAGCCAGGCCTGCTGCAGTTCCCGGCACCCTCAAGGGTTGGGACTGGTTCCTACCCTGCTGGTGCTGATGCCTGGGCCCTGCTGCTCACTGCCCTCCCGCCCGCAGCCTCGTCTTCTGGTTTGGGGACCTCAATTTCCGCATTGAGAGCCTCGACATCCGCTTCGTCAAATATGCCATTGACAGCAACATCCTGAGCCAGCTCTGGGAGAAGGACCAGGTGAGTGGGCCGGGCTCACTGCCGGCTGTGTTCTTGGGCACTTACCAGCCGTGCCCATCAGCTGCGAGCCACTTGGCACCAAGGGCACGGGCTCTTCCAGCTCGTGGAGGAGCGGCAGGCAGCGTTCTCCCAGGGTGTTTTCCATCGGAGCTGTGCACATCAGCAGTTCCTTCCTGGGAGCTTCTTTCTTGGGAAGAGCTGGGGCCATGGAGCCTTGCTGCTCTCCTGCCCACAGCTAAACATTGCCAAAAGCACCTGGCCTGTCCTGAGCGGCTTTCAGGAGGGACCCCTCAACTTCCCCCCCACGTTCAAGTTCGATGTGGGCACCAACAAGTACGACAGCAGGTAGGACAGCTGGGGGCACATGCTGGGGGTGGGCGGCACGGCTGAGGTTCGTGGGGGTCTCGGAGGGAAGCTTGTGGGCTGGGACACAGCCATTGTGCTGGTGCCAGTGCAGGTCTGTCCCTGCAGCTGCACTGAGCTGTGCGCCGAGACGAGCCGCATCCCCTGCCTGCGTGCTCCATAGTGCCAGGGGGAGGCAGGTTGGGGTGGAGCCCACTGCCCCCCTGCCAGGCAAGAGATGCCCCTCTGTGCCCTGCAGTGCCAAGAAGCGAAAACCCGCCTGGACTGACCGCATCCTTTGGAAGATCAAATCTCCCAGCTCCGGGGCGGGCGGGCGCCGGCCCAGCCGGGGTGTGCTGTCGGTGAGCCAGCTCTGCTACTGCAGCCACATGGAGTACATGGTCAGCGACCACAAGCCTGTAGCTGCCATCTTTGCCGTGCAGGTGAGCAGCTGCCAGGGCTGCTGGCCACAGCCGTGCTGGGTGAATGTGTGCCCTGTGTGTGGCTTTCTTACTTTGCTGGGCAGGACTGCTGTCTCACCACCATGGCTGGGGGTAGTGGGGGTGCTGCTCCCACTTGCTCTTACCCACCATCTGCATGTCTCTGCCAGTTTGCTTCCAAGGCAGATAAGCCCCCGGTGGAGATCTTTGTGGCTGATGAGTGGATCAGGCCTGAGCAAGCAGTTGTCAAGTACAAGATGGCTGCTGGCTTTCACCGGAGCTCCTGGGACTGGATTGGCCTCTACCGGGTAGGGGCTGGGGTCCTTGGCAGTGTGATGTGATCCCCTCTGTAGCTGCCCCCTCCCACAGGTGCTGATGAACGGCCTCAGTGTGGGCTCTCCCATTCTGGGAAGGCCATGTTGGGCTGTGGATCCAGCACTTCTCTTTCTCCCACTCTGTGGGCTCCATATGGCCCAAAGCTATTGCTGGGGGCTGAGAGAAGAGCAAAAGCACCAGCTCACCTCCTTTCTTCCACAGGTGGGTTTTCGGCATCCTAAAGACTATGTGTCCTACGTTTGGGCCAGGAGCGATGATGGAGAGCGCTGCGTAGAGAAGCAGCTGTGTGCACAGGTGAGCAACTCTGGGAGTCAGGGCCATGGGGTGAGGCAGCAGCAGCCTCTGGACCTTTGGATGGCACCAAGCAGGGTGCAGGCCCACATATGGGGGTGGCTGGGGGGTGCAGCCCTGTGCTCAGCCTGATGCCCATCTGCTGCAGGTGATGTTCTCAGAGGAAGCGCTGCCCAAGGGGAAGGGAGAGTACATCCTCGGGTACTACAGCAACACCTCCAGCAGCATCGTGGGTGTGACAGAGCCATTCCAGGTCAGCAATGCCTTGAGGTGAAGGGTGGGGGGAGGGAGGTTTCAGCAGGGCAGGGCGTCCTGCTGCAGTGCCCCACAGCCCCCTGTGTGGGTCAGGGCCCAATGCTGATGTGTGGTGCAGATCTCCCTGCCTCGATCCGAAGAGGGCAGCAGCCCTACGGACAGCTCGGGCAGCAGCTCAGAGGAGGAGGATGACAGCACTCTTGTCCTGCTGGCCCCCAAATCCCGCAGCCCCAGCCCGGGCAAGATGAAGCGGCACCGGAGCCGCAGCCCCAGCCTGGCCAAGTTCCAGGGTCTCATCCTGCGCCCATCGAGCCGTGACCGGGGCACCAGCCGGAGCCCCTCACCCCAGAGCCGCCGTGGCCTCACCGGGGACATCCCTGCCATCCACCTGCCCCAGACAGAGCTGGGACGCCGTGGATCCAAAGCCAAGGAATCGGGGCAGGTGGCCAACAGCCAGGAGGGCGGCCCGGGTTCCTTCTACCAGACTGTGCGGGAGCCGTGCGTTGCCCGGCGTGCTGCTGCTGACAACCCTCTGGCCAGGGCTGATCCCAGGAACCTGGGCCTGCTGCCTGCGCTCCGCCTGGAAACCATCGACCAAGCCATGGGCCGACGGAGGGAGAGTGTAGACCAGGGCTATCCCTGCCGCAGGATGAGCCCCACCAGCCCTCCTTGCAGCACTTCCCCAAAGGAAGGGGGCAGTCCCCGGGAGCTGGATGGTTACAGCTGTACCATGGGGCGCTGAGGCTGCGCCCCCTCCCTCCGTAGCGCGCTTGCTGTGTGCTTTCCCGTGCCACGTCCCTGCTGTGAGCCATCCCCCTCCCTTATTTATTGCAGTGAATCACCCCTGCACCCCCGCTGCCTGCCTGCCCTGCTCCTCCCGGGGCTGCAAAGGAGGCATAGGGGAGGGAGTGGTGGTGAGGGAACCCCTCATGTGTGTCAGAACTGCGGGACGCTCAGTCCTAGGGCAGGTGAGTGGCCTGGGGGTGCTGGGGGCCAGGGATGGCGCTGCAAATGAGGATGTTTGCCCCCTCCTCCCGGGGCACAGCACTGCTGCGGGCACCCTGCAGATGGGAGCTTGCTTCTTTCCTGCCCTTACCACTGTGCCTCGGGCTTGGACATAGTGTGAGCAACAAAATAAAGCATCCCGCCTGCCCCAGCTGCACTGTGCTTATTGCAGGGTGGGGGCTGTGGGGAATGCAGGACCCCAGCACCGTGCACCGTGTCACTCTGCCCTTTATTTGCCTTGTGCCACACGCAGGCACTGACCTTCCCCAGGCACGGCACTGTGCTCCCACCTCTAGAGCTCGGGGTGGAACCTGACTCGCCCCAACCCCCCTGCTCCAGGGGCAAAACCGGGGCTGGGGGTCCTGGCACCGTCCTGCCCGGGGCTCCTACGCCCGCAGCATCCTTCAGGGGCGGTCGCTTTTTCCTGCCCCCTCTCCTTTCCCTTTGCTGTGGTGGCAGCCGCAGCTCCTAGGGATGGCAGCTCAGCCTCCTCCACCCCTTTCCTGCCCCACGCAGTCACGCCAGCAGCCACTCTCGGTGCCATCCTTTCTCTCAAGGACCCGACATTGAGCAGCTCCGCCCCGCAGCGCAGCTCCTCCCCACGCACGGTACAGCCCAGCCGCTGGGGCTCAGCGGGGCGCGGGGTGCTGCGGGGCTCCCATCCCCTGCTCCAGGGCCACCCGCCGGCACCGTTCGTACAGAGCATCACCGCCGCTCTCCTGCTCGTTCCACTCCCGACGTTCAGCACCGCGGCGCCGCAGCGTGGTCCTCAGATGCCGTGCGGGTACCAGCACGGCCCGGACCGCGGCGTCACAGCTGCTGGAGGAACAGAACAGAGAGCGTTGCGGCGAACAAAGCACCGCCAGCCCCGGCCCATCCCCGTTCCCTCCGCACTCACCCGCTCCGGCGCTCCGCTCCGCACTCGGCCTGCGGTTCCAACACGAAGCAGCGCGCGGCGATGCGCTCCGCCAGGAGCGGCGGCTCCGCGCCCCCGGGGCCCCTCGCCCTGCTCAGGGACCTCACCATTCTGCGGGGACAGCGGGGCAGCTCTCAGCACCCCGCCCGTCCTCCCTCTCCAGCCCCGCTCTGGGCGATGACGGACGGACGGAAAGGCCGCCCCACGGCACACACCTGCGGGTGCAGTTGCAGTGGAAGAGCGTCCGCGCACCGCCGTTCCGCAGCCCGTACTTCGTCTCGCGGGGCGCGATGCGGTGCTCGCAGCGATCCAGGTGCCGATAGGCTCTGCACAGCCTCCCCAGCCCTGGCGGCAGAGAGCGGCGATCGGACCGAAGCTCTCGGCCCGGGGACGCCCCCTCCGGTCCCCATCCGGCTCTCACCCCTCCGTCTTCCCGCGGCGCTCCCCGGGCCGGTCTCACACCGCTCCGCCTCTCCGACGGCGCCGGGCTGCTCTTCGCACGCGGAGTTCCCGACGGCCGCAGCGGCCGCGGTGCCGTAGGGGCTCTGCCGCACCATCGTGGCCACCGGCACCACCGCGTACCGCTCGCAGCTGAGGGCGCCGCATCAGGAGCCGCCCGACGGCCACAGCCCGCGGCTCCCGCGGCCCCGCACTCACCCGCCCCACCAGTGCCAGCGCACGCACTGCTCGGCGCGCCGCAGCACGAAGCACGGCACCTCCAGGAGGTCGAAGAAGGTGACTCCGATGAGGTCGGAGACGGTGTCGTTGAGGGCCCGCAGGCAGCGGCGGAACGCGGCGTCGCAGTCGCAGTGGCTGACGGTGTGCGGGCGGTAGTTGCGGATGCCGAAGCCGAACTGCAGCGCCTCGATCTGCGTCCCGCACCGATCGTGCTCCCGGCAGCAGCGGTCGGGGCCGCGGAACAGACCTGCGGGCGGCGATGTTCAGTGCCCTGCCCGCCCCGCCACGCGCGGCTCCGCGCGGCGCCCCGGCCCGTACCCAGCTCGGAGGAGTTCCCGGCCGAATCCCCGGCCCCGCACCACAGCGTCCCCGGCACAGTCCAACCCCTCCTCCGCCTGCGGTTCCCGCGGTGCGGCGATGGCTCGGCGCACGCCGCCCGCCGCCTCCACAGCGCGGCCACGTCCCGGCGCAGCGCGGGCGCGGGAGCGGCGGACGGGCGGCGGGCGCAGGCGGCGAGGAAAGCGCGGATCTCGCGGGGGTCCCGCCGCGCCCAGCAGCCCCGCAGCTTTCCGCGCCCGCCCCACGCGCCCTCCACCAACGCGGGCGGCCCCGGCCCCGCGCTCAGGAAGGCCGCGTAGCGCTCGCCGCCCGCCGCCA